GCCGTTTCCGTGGCAGCTAGTTCCTGTAAATGTTCACGCAACCACACATCATATTCAGCCGTATCGTACCGTATGGGGCGTCTCACCACACGTCGCGGGTATGGCGCACGAGCGACAGATGCATCATGTGATGGTGGTGCCGTGTGAGATGGTGGTGATCGCAGGGGCGACCTGGAACGACAGCGCGGAGGTGACAAGGTAAAAGGAGCTGGGTCTCAGGAAGGTCCGGGATTCACGCAGGCTGATGGAGTAGAAGGAAGGAGTAGTAGATGCTAGTGACGATGGTGAAGGTGGTGGTGATGGCTCCTTCTCCACCCACTGCCTGTGTAATAGTTTACTCTTTATCATCGTTACTCTTATACGTCCCTGGTACTCGCAGGTGTTACCCGTGATCGTACGCTCGATTCTACATATATTATCGGAGGTATCGCGGTGTCGTGATGACAAACAATGAACGCTGATGATACGTGGTTAGTCTAATGATCGTTTTTCTCCTCGTATATGCGTGTACGCTCAGGTGTGTGGGTGTGTGTGTAGGTGTGATCGTGGCTCGTGAAATATAGTGTATATACCATGTGAAGTGCTAACCCAAAGGTCCTCGCTTGGTGCGGGTAATTATAGAGTAATTACCCTGAGGTTAGCATAAAATGATAGACAAACCAGACGTGTACGTACAACAATATATATACATATATCTATTTACTTCTATCACCAATTAAGTGCAACAACATACAGGGGTTTCGTCGTGTTAGATAACCGCAATACAGTGCACGCCTTGCCTGCGTGGCTACAGATGGTTAGTTACAATGTATCAATGGTCTACGTATCCTTAGCTAGCGCTCCGTCTCTCTCGGCACGTACAGAGTATGTTTGCACTAACGTGTTTCTCATAGAACAATCAACAGAGTTGATGTATATGACAAACAAAGGGTAGCACCGTAAATAAACAAATACAATGACTCAAAATAGTTTAAAGAGGGAGAGAGACACAAATACGATAGAGCACTCATACGATAGACCTATTAATACTTACAAGATGCTGCCGTTCGGGAACTGTCTTTTAGAGTCCAGTACCCCGGTATTTATTCTCTTTTTAGGATCATTAGCCAGCTATCTGACGTCAGTATTGGCCTTCGCCACGTCCCTCGGACAGCGAGTTTTCGGAGCGTTTTAATGGAATGTTTTAGCTTGGTCAGATTGACCGTTCTACTTGACTGCCCATCCTAGCACGACTAATCCTAATCGTCCCTAAGATTAATTGTTTTCTAAGACCTGCCGGACATTCTATTCCTTAGGCTAGCCGGTAGTTTTCCACTGTCCCTAATGACTTTTCTTTTAATCAACTTTCCCTTTTATGACAATATTATCTTCATTACACTAGTCCCAAAGGAAAGTTCTGAGCGATCTCCTTATCGCGAAGAACTTTAAGGTTAATGTTAATATCAATATTAATACCAATGATAATAATATCAATATCAATATTTTATCTTCATGGATAAACCAGTTTTTCTAGTGGATTTGCCCTTAATGGTTATTCCATCCGATTTACTACCCGTGGCATTGCTATCACGCTCCATACGCTTCGTACGCCTTTCAACTAGTCCAGCAATACGAGACGCCATCAATGCACGCGTATCTGTGGAACTCAAAAAGGTATTCATTAAAATCTTCTTATTCTCTTCTCTATCAAAGTTCTTCTTGTAGAGATCTAATAAACTCACCGAATCGATATTGTCAGAATTTGCTAATGCCTTAAGAAAACAGAAATCACTTAACTTATTGTTAACATTGATTAAAGATTCAACAACATCTTTATTAATCTTGAGAGTAGTGGAATAAAAAGTTTTTCCACTATCATCTTTCTTCTCTTCAGTAGTAAATCTATCCCTCCACATTTCTATACCGATCGCCGCCCAACGTGGAATAACGTCGTTTTGACCTATTTCACACATTATAGGTAGCCTTTTAGTTATGTTCACGAATCGACTAGGCACCTCTCTACCAAAGTTATCAACGATAGATCGCAAACTATCATCAATCAAACTACAAACTTGGCTTGATTTGTTAGTCATTCCTCCCTTTCTCTCCCTCTTCTTCATCAAGATATAATTTAGCCCACCCTTGACTTTTCTTTTAATCAACTTTCCCTTTTTATGACAATATTATCTTCATTACATTAGATTACAAACATGTTTACTTGCTCCGACGTCTTACACATATAACAAGGGTCCGTGTAAATGACCCGTACGAATACAGAAAGGTACGCTCCCGGGATACAATGTATAACTTACATATCAGGTGGATGGTAGCTAGTACTAGTACTATTGAAATTACGTCAGTCGTCGTGTAGGCAGCAAAACGGAGAGATAGAGCATCTTCTTTTTGACAAACATCATTCTTTATAGTGACGCGGTCTCTATTGTCTAAGTTCCCACCTTGCCTATTGGCTGCTGCCTTGCCGGTCAAGCGTGCCCGCCAGCCAAGCGCTGCTATTGGCTGGTTACGCGCTATTAATCTCTATTCCCAGTGGCCGTTGGTGTGGGTCGTGGTCACGCACCTTTTATGGTCCGGCCAATTACGTGCTGCAGCCACTGTTAGCATGTGCGTGTTTCTTAGACAATGGACCTGTCCTATATCTTGTGACCCTCGCATTCCGCCTGACCTTCTAATTATTATTCTATTTATTATTAATCCTATTTCTTCATTACACCTGTACCCGTCCTCGGTGACCTCGACGAACAGCTCTGAAAATAAAAAGCAAAATAGTCATCGAAATTATTAAAATCTGTACGAGCACTGTACAGCAGACGTGACGGGAAATGACGGAACACGTGCCCCCGCACGTCGTCACATCGAACAACTTCAATAACACGCTCAAACACCGACGCCGCAGCACAAAAGATCAAAAACTCATTCGTTGCATCAAATGCCATCTCCAGGCTACCAACCATAGCATTCCTTGACGAATATTTACGGGGACAGTAAAAGCTACACACTTGGAAATAAAACTCGCTATACGCTTTAACCTCACGAACGATACTCTCCCCTGCACTCAACAAACGCGGAACATTCACAGCATTTTGGACAAACAGATCCACAGCGATAAAAACACCGTCACCCAGCCAGATCTTCCAGGGCACTCCTGCATTCCTGCGCAGATACTGCTTGCCATCGGCGGCTCCACACTCCACAGAGCAGTGCGGGTCCAGCTCCTCTATCAGGCAGGTCGTGCACAGTTGTTGAGTTCTGCAGAAGAAAAGCAAACCACACTTCAGATATAATTAGCGTCGGCACATCATCGACACTCATCGTCGTAATCCAATTCCTGTCAGTACGTCGGCGCAGCTTCGACTCTGTTATGAGCGGTTATTGCGATTGCGATTTAAGCGTAGCATGAACGCAGCGCTTATTGTAATTTAATTACTGTCGTGGCATCGCCACTCGTCATAGATACAGATATGAGCCACGGTTACAGATTTAGACATTTACTAATTTTTGGTCGCTACATTTGTCCCCCCACTAAACCGATGTCCACCCTGTGGACATCGAATACCAGCCTCCTGGCTGGTCGTTCACAGGGAGGGCAGTCGACGTCGTGGGATCGTAATAAGAATTGTGAACAGTGATAGTACAATAATACATTAATGGCTACTGGTGTGGTCGTCGTCCACACTGTACAGAACTACTAGAATTAATGATTGAAATTACTCGCGCCACTGTACAGAACTACTAGAATTAATGATTGAAATTACTCGCGCTCTCCGCGAAGGTATTAATTTTGATGGTTACTTTCTACACACCATAACACAACGTCTAAGAAATTGCACACATTCGTCCGACTACTGGCGTGGGGTGTAAGCCCACACCGTACATGAATACTACTGTGGTACATTAAGTGTGGTAGTTGGTGTAATGCTACCCATGGTTTCAGCGGTCGCCTTCCCCCTCATGTCCGTTAGGGGGGGTGGGCGGTTGCGTCATCGCGGCGGCCAAGATGGCCGTTGCGGCCAGCGCTTCCGCCATCCGGCGGATGTGCTCGGGGTTGAAGGTAGTGGTGTCGGGGTCGTCTTCTGCGCCGACTTCGAATTCATATGTCATCGGGTCGGCGTTTGTTCCCGACCCGATGAAAGAGCCGAGGTAGTACCGTTCTTGGGTATTTTCCTGGCGCTCGTCACTGGACGCGTTGTCTGCGGAGGTCTGCTGATCTCTGGCGGATCTTCAAATGGTGGCAAGGCTCCTGGCAGGAGATGTGGGGCTGGCGTTTAGAACTGCCGTTAGCCCATCAGCTGGCTGCTGCGGGCGGGGGCCGTGTCGTCCCCGCCTGCACTGCAGGAATGCCGAGTCCAGCGTGTTGCGCGCGCCGTAGGCGGCACCAGCGTAGCGGGTCGTCGACGGTCTTGCCGTCTGAGCACTGGTCACCGCGACGTGAGGCTTCAGCCTCACCTGGTCAGCAGCTAGAGATGTGGACGTCCGACGGCGTCGTACTCTGCGCGAACCTGACTCTTGGCGGATCTGCTCGAGCAACGCGGGCGAGCGCCGGCAAGACGCTCCTCTTGCGATGCATAGTTGGCCTGCCGGTTCGCCTTTGTGGACTGTCACCATGCCCGCCTCGACGTCTCTTGCTGGAACGGCGCGCCGTCAAGCGACCGGCGCAGCGGCTACGCCCACCACTTCTCGGGCAGCCCGCCAGCGACGCAGCAGCTGCCACACAAGCGCTTCATTCGCTCCGACGCCCGAGTCCGCGCCCACGCACTCCTTCCTGCGCCGTTTTTCCGTGGCAGCCTCGTTCTGCAATGTTATACACCCACTCCTACTTGGCGGTACCTACCGTATGGGCCGCGTCTCACCACACCGTCGTGGGTATTGTAGAAATGCTTGTAGAGTAGATCCAACAGAACTTGGTGTGGTAAACTGTTTAATTTTCTTCTTGGCCACTCACTCTTCTTAACACACCGACCGACCCGCGCCACGCGCCGGCTCGCGCGTATCTCGTGCGCGTCCTCTTTCCGACGGCACCAGCCCAATCTGCCAAACTCCTCCACCTACTCCCGCACATGTACCCGTTGCTCAGCGACTACTTCCTACCCATTTCAACTGACTCTCGAAACTGGCAACCTAACCACGTGCCTGCCATTCTCCCTGATACATCAATGCTAGCGCCCATCTGGTTGAGCCGCGCCATGTTCTTAACGCTGCGCTATGGCTAAACAACTACCGTCTATAGCTCACTGACTAATTTATGTACCGGTATGAAACTAGACGTTTTACAGTATTGGCGCAGAGTGACAGGCATGCGATCACTGTGATGGCGGTGCCGCTGTGAGATGCGTGTGAAGCAGGGTGACCTGGAACAATAAGCGGCGGAGGTGACAATGGGAAAGGAGCTGGGTCTCGGGAAGTCCTGCGGTTCACGCAAGGCTGATGGAGGTGAAGGAAGGGTTTGATGCTGATGCTGGTGACTGATGGTTGAACGTGGTGGTGCATGGCCTCTTTCCTCCACCCACGCCTGTACCCGTCCTCAGGTGACCTCGACGACAGCTCGGTAGCTCTTGAAAATAAAAGCTAAATAGTCATCAATTGATTAATCTGTACGAGCACTGTTACAGCAGACTGAGGGGAATGACGGAACATGGCCCCAGCGCACGTCGTCACATCGACAACTTTCTACACGCTTCAAACACCCGACGCCGCAAGCCCAAAGATCAAAAACTCTTCGTTGCATCAATGCCTCCATGCCTACCATGCTTTCCTTGACGATATTTCGCGACAGTAAGCGCTCACACTTGGGAATAAAACTCGCTATACGCCTTAACTCCACGAACGCATACGCTCCCTCATTCAAACCCAGCAAATTCACAGCATTTTGCGACGAAACAGATTCCACAGCGTAAACAACTGTCACCCAGCCCAGATGTTTCCAGCGCATCTCTGCTTCCTGCGCAGTCTACTGTTGCCATCGAGCGCGGCTCCCATTCCACAGGCAGTGCGGCGTCCGGCTCCTTCTATAGGCAGGTCAGTGCCAGTTGTTGTGAGTCTTCTGCCAGAGAAAGCAACACACTATTCAGACTACCATGTATGTCCCTTAAATGGGCACAGGGGCACCCTCTACCTGCCCTGATGGCTGCTCTCACTCCCGGAAATCTCTTGGCTTGTAGGGTTCGTCTCAAATCGTACAAGTAATATGCTGTACTTCCGTTTATTCATTCTTTATCGTGCGAACGGGATTCGTTCGTCACACGATTGTATCTTGACGAAAAGAACTCTTCGAATTTAAGCTTATATCCTCATGTGAGGATTTCTCATGAACTGGGTGATTTCTTCAGCCCGAGCCGACTCGACTTTTTCGTTCAATCATCGCATCATAAATTCTTGCCTGTTCCGATACAAAGATTCTTACTATCGAACTTGCTTTTTTCCGATGGGTGTAGTTCGCGGTGTTCCCTGGTCGCTGAGCACTGCGTCACCGGAACTGAGTCCAGCCTCCTGGCCGTCAGCAGCTAGGAGCATTGGATCGGCCCACGGCGTCGTACTCTCCTCCGCGGCCAGCGACTGGAATCTGCGGGCACTGCGTTGAGCAACCGGGCGAACGGTCAGAGCCGGTCCTCCTTTCGATGCATGGCTGGCTGGTTTCGGCCTTGCTGACTGTCCAAACCAGTGCCCCGCCTCGACGTTCCTGCACTGTAGCCGTCGGCCGTCGAGCGACGCGCACGCAGCAGGGTTGGCGCCCCACATTCTACGGGCAGCCCGCAGCGAGCAGCGCTGGCCAACCGAGCCGCTTTCCTCCTCCGCGCACGCGCGTCCGCTCCACACGCTTCCCGCGCCGTTTCCGTTGGCAGCTAGTTCCTGCCAATGTTCATACAACCATGATCGAACTCAGCAGTACGCTACCGTATGGGGCGTCTCACCACACGTGTGGGTATGGCGGGAACGAGCCGACAGATGCATCTTGTGATGGTGGTGCCGTTGTAAGATGGTGTGAACGCAGGGGTGTGACTGGACGACAGCGCGGGGTGACAAGGTAAGGGCTGGGTCTCGGGAAGGTCCGGGATTCCGCAGGCTGTGCACAGGTAGAAGGAAGGCATGTGCTGATGCTGGTGCGATGGTGAGGTCGGTCGGTGCATGGCTCTTCACAACTGCTGTTACCTGTCCTCGGCTGACCTTTCCGACGAACAGCTCGGATAGCTCTGAAGAGTAAAGCCCTAAATAGTTCAGCGATTATTATATTCTGTACGAGCATCTGTACAGCAGACGTGACGAAAATGACGAACACGGCTGCCCCCGCACGTCCGTCACATCGCACAACTTCAATACACGCTCAACACCGACGCCGCAGCCAAAGATCAAAAACTCAGTTCGTTGCATCCATTGCGTTGGTAGCTACCCAACCTAGCATTCCTTGACGAATATTTACGGGGACAGTAAAAGCTTACACACTTGATTAAAAACTCGCTCTACGCCTTACCTCACGACGATCTCTTGCCCTGCACTCACCAACCACGGCATTCACAGCATTTTGGCCAAAGGAATTCCACAGCGATAAACACCGCTCACAGCCAGCATTTCCAGGCCCTCCTGCCATTTCCCTGCGCAGATACTGCCTTGCCATCGCGCGGCTCCACTTCTCACAGAGCAGTGCGGTGTCGAGCTCCTCTATCGTCAGGTCGTGCCGCACAGTGTTGAGTTCTGCCGAAGCAAAGCAACCACACTAATTCAAGACTCATTGTCTGTCCCTTAAATGGGCACAGGCGGGCACCCCTACCCTGCCGCGATGGCTGCCTCACTCCCGGAAATCTCGTTGGCTTGTAGGGTTCGCTCTTAAAAATATATAGATATATAAGAATTATAATATTATTATAATTATATAAATAATAATTTTATAATATATAAATAATAAATAATAATTATAAAATATATATAATATATATATCATAATATTAAATAAAAATATATTATCATATAATAAATATATATTAATTTATAATAATAAAAATAATTATATAATAATATATTCATAATGAAATATAATAATTAATAATATTTATTATTTTATAATAAATAATAATATATTTCATATCAATAAATTAATAATATTAAAATTAAATATTATTTATAATAATAATACTTTTATAATTATAATTGATATTAGTAAATATATACATGATAGATAATTATATATAAATTATAACTAAATAATATTTATCTATAAAATAATACTGATTACTATATATAATAATACAAATTTTATATATATATATTATATATATTAATTATAATTAAGAATTTATATTATTAATATAATAAATTATATATATATAATCAATAATATAATATCAAAATAAGATAATTATTATAAATATAATAATGTAAAACTGATATATAATATTTATATATAATAATATCTAATCATACATAATATTATAATATAAAATATATAATAATAAAATATTATTCAATATATAATTATTGATATATATAATATTATAAATATATAAATATTAATATAATAAATATATTTATAATAAATACTATTATAATAATATCATAATATTAATAATATAATTTATCATTTTATAATAATCCTATAATTATATAATAATTATGATAATCTAAATAATATATAATGATATTATTAATATATATAAAATAATATATTAACATAGCTTACAATAAATAATCATATAATATATAAATAATATATTAAACATATTTAATAATATTAAATGTATAATATAATATATATAAATTCAAAATATATATCAAAGATAATATAAAATAATATAATAATACAAATATAACATTAATAATAAATATATATATCATAAAATTATAATATTTAGAATAATTATATATCATTATAAATAATATATTAATAAGATATAATATATATAAAATATATATAATATAACTTTATATAATATAATATAATAATAGTATAATAATCAATAACATATAATACTATAAGTACGAGTAATATGTGTACATTCCGCTTACCGAGTTTTTACCCATTCATCTGAATGCGTGGACGGGATCGGTTCGATCCCACGAATGTATCTCTGACGAAAGAATCTTCGAATTTCAACGCTTAATCTCAAGCGTGAGATTTCTCATGAAGATGGGTTGATTTCTTCTCCCAGAATGCGCTCGACTCTTCTTCGTGCCGAATCCTCGCCATCATAAAATCTTCTTGCCATGTTTCGATACAAGAATTTCCTTACTTCGGAAAACTTCTTCATTTTTCGAAGAGGTTGGAGTTCGGGCTGATCCATTGTCCCTGAGCCCTGGTCCCGGACCCTGAGGCTTCGCCTCCTGTCAGAGCTAACGCATTGGAACGGCACGCGGACCGTGCGTCTGCGTCCCGCTGCCCGCGAACCTGGAATTGGCGGCGACCTGCGTCGAGCACTTGCGCGCGCGAGCGCCGTCCAAGAGCCGCTAACTTGCGATGCGAATCGGTGGCCTGACCGTTCGGCTTTTGACATGTCCAACCCCTGCCGCCTCCCGACGTCTCCTGACTGGACGTCGGCGTTCAGCGACAGGCAGCAAGCACGGTGGCGCCCCCACCACTTCTACGGCAGCCCGCAGGAGCAGAGCTGCCAAACGAGCCGCGGTCCATTCTCCGACGCCGCCGCGTCCGCTCCACACGACCTTTCCCGCGCGCCGTTGCCGATGGGCAGTAGCTTTCCTGGCAAATGTTCATTACAACCACACTCATATCTCCGCAGTACCGTACCGTATGGGGCGTACTCAGCCCACGTCGTTGGTATCGCGGCACTGAGCCGACCGCATGCTCATGTGATTGTGGGCGTGTGAGATGCGTTGTTGTGAAGCGGCAGCGGGTGACCTGCGAACGACAGCGCTGGAGGTGATCACAGCGTAAAAGGAGCGGGTCTCGCGGAAGTCCGGAGTTTCACGCAGGCTGATTGCCGGTTAGAAGGAAGGGATGTGCTGAGCTGGTGCGCATGGCTGAAGATGGTGGTGATGGCTGCTCCACCACTGCTGTACCGTCCTCAGCGTGACTCGGACGCAACGAGCTCGGCTAGCTCTGAAATCAAGTAAATAGTCAGCGCATGATTCAAATCTTGTACTGAGCACTGCTCAGCAGACGTGCGGGAATGACGGAACAGCGTGCCCCGCACGTCGTCAAGTCGAACAACTTCAATAACACGCTCAAACACCGACGCCCGC